GCAAAGACCAAATAGATGGAAAAGCGAGAAGACTATCACGAAAGGAAATCTTTTTAAACTGGGGAAGAGACATTTTTGAAATCGGAGAAGTTTGTTAAGTGAGATTGGAAGTGAAAGGTAAAGAAAAGTGAAAGGGGGATTGGAGGAATGGAATCGGGAGTTGGTGGTACGGATGATGAAGTGAAATTCGGATCGCTCTGAAAGATGAGCGGTATTTATATGGCTCAGATATTGAGTTGCCGGATCAGCTTCAACACGCGTCACGTGAGTCATTATTTTTGTTTGGATCATAAAGCTCATATACACGCGAAGAAATACATATGTACTGATTGACGCGAGCTGATCAGTCTGTGTCGGATAGGAAGATAATGTGATAAAGGTGATATGATTGCCCCTTCTCTACCTCAATTGTTGATACCCACCTCCAACTTGCGTCAATCCACTCTATTGATGAATTTTGATAATTCAAAATCTTTGAGTTCAGAGGTTGAAAAACAGGCTCTGATCGAGCGAGCGTTTTACCTGCCTCTGTCTACAGCTAGGACCTTCCTTTCTGGCGACTGTCTCGAGAAAAAGCAAAGACTCATTTCTCTGCCAATCTCCAGATTCAACTCATTTTTTGAAGATCAAAATGTTTTGAACATCAAAGTCATCTCCGATTCTCACGGGTCCAATAGCTTTCCATTGATTTCTCAAAGATCTCAATGAATGTCTCGTAGCTAGGCTAAAAATCTATTCCATTTCTGCTTTTCTGATGCTTCTCATGCATATCATAAACCACGATTTATTCAGCTTCATATTTACAAGGAGATTTGCCAAATAAGTCAAAATCAGCCGATTGCGCCAAAAGCACAATGCCTTGTACTTCAGCAAGGCTTAAATGTCTCAGGAGTACATGGTATCTATCGGGGATCCGCGTTGCTTGATCACTATAACTCTCTCTTTGATATTTTCGCTTCTGCTATTTTGATGCTTTTCATTCATATCGTAGATCGCGCTTCATTCAGCTTCATATCCAAAAGGAGATTCACTGGATAGTTCAAAATCCAAAGATCGCGCGAAAAGCACCATACCTTTAACTTCAGCAAAGCTTAAGCATCTCAGCAGTAAATGGTATCTATCCGGGATCCGCGTTGCTTGATCGCTTTAAGTCTCTCTATAATATTTTCGATAAAACAAATGATGAAAAATCAACCATATAGGTGAGGAACTGTGCATGTGTCGCTCTTGGATCTGCCGACTTGGTCCGATGGCTGGCCCTCAAGTATTCCATGGTAACAAGTAGTTGGGATTGAAAGGGGCAAGGAGTGATTCATTAAAATGTAAAAATCAATTGCCCTCGCTTTAACTGAAACTTATTCTTTACATTTGGTTTGTATATGATTATCGGTCAGACTTATCATTCAAGACCACATTACGAAAACAACAGGTGCGGAGGCAGGAGGGAATTTGCTTATGTATATACATATATGAATTTCATATCCAAGTTCCACAACACGATTGGATTCCCCAAATTCATTATCTCTTATCAGCCAGCGAATCTTTCCATCATTGATTGGAGTTATCATACAATTTTCAAAACAGATCGATCCATCGTAACAGTAGAGAGATAGGTAGGATGAACACAAGAGATTTCTTCAAGATACAACTGTGTCACATCCCAACTCCATCACGGTTCCATAAGAGATAATCTCATTCATCAGAACTAGGAATGATGGAGAGGTCCTGAACATCAAAGTACTTGGTTTTTCTCGGTTTTCTGTCACGTAGCGAGCCTTTCCATACCGATTGGGTAGATTAGATGAATGTTTTTGACAAGGAATGTTATTGAGTAGATCTAACAAATTACCCATCAAGAAATAAACTCACAAAGCCTTTCTTGACAACTTAAGATTGTCTTATCAAACTTCTCGGCTATAGCATGCTCATATTCTCTTTGATGAAAAAAATCGGTAAAGTTTCAAATTCCTTAATCTTCGTTTATGGGTCTACTTTGAACAAAACCTGAGAAAATCAGGTGTCTTAAAAGAGTTTCCCATTATTTTGAAGATTAAGATTCGTGTGATATTCTGAGGTTCTGAGTGTAAGTTTCTTGTGGCATTTTTGGTGGTGTAAAAAGTGTTTATCTATAACGCCCAAGCAAATCGCATTGAATGGATCGATTCGATTCCAGAGTCCAGTCCGGTATCTCGCATTCATACCAAACTTCCAAACTGAGACTGGAGGAGGAAGCTCTGAGGGCGTATTCTGCTTCAGCATCACTTCAAGTTCAACACTTCAGTTTACTGAATACGATGTTGACGGAGTAGTGTGAGGTCTACAGGCAGCTCAACGAGCCTAGTAACACAAAATTGACTTTTGTTGATTAGATTCACGAGTCATGATATTTGAGATCACTATGATCTTCTCGTCTCAAGAAATCCAAAAAGAAGGCAAGAAATTTCATATCTTGTAGTTTAGCACAGCTCAGTCATGCATCAAAGAAGTATAAGTCTTGCGGGATTCACAACATTGCTTGTACGGAATTGTTTAGTTGGAAGCGGCTGGTTTGTGAGTTTGACTGAAGTATCTTGTACTGAGTCTCTTGTAGTAAAGTCTCGCGGGATCAACAACATTGCTTGTAAAGACTTCTTCAGTTAAAGGTCGCTGGTTTGTGAGTTCGACTGAAGTATCTTGTACTGGGTCTCTCATTCTCCGGAATATCTGCATTCTATCCGATTCACAGATGATCGAACAAATCTCAGCCCTATGCTAGATAAGTAGGACAATAATTGGTTAGCTGCCCTCTCTCATTGACAAGGTATACACGAGTCTAAGAGGAAGTAAAGGATTTTCCGCCCAAATTTCCGATCACACGGAGTCCAAATTCTGTTTGCTATTATCTCGGAGCTTTCTTCTTATGGATAGGTATTAAGGCGTATGCAGCACATGGAAACAGTCCAAAATGCGATCAAGAGTAGTTTGAATGAAGCAAAAGTTGATTAATAGCCTTAAGCTGAACCTCACAGCTCCTAATCCAAATCCTTCCATCTTCTCTTTGGATGCGTTTCACTGTCGGAAACACATGACAGGTACGCAGGTCATTGAAGATGGGTAATGATTTGTTTTTTATTAAAACTGCATGGATTGAGGCCATTTGAGATGTTATGGATTGTTTAAATGAGAGATATAGTAAGGAGTTCGTTCAACTTGAGAAGTACTCCTGAATCTAAAATACCAAAAGGGTGAAAGCATCCAGATGAATTGTTAAAATTTGAATGTTTGTTGATTGAGTATTTAACCCCTTAACGTCGACTGTCAGTCTTGAGTAAGTAAGTAGTACTTAAGCTTTTGATTACCTTTCATATTTGGGTCAAGAGGGTTGGAGACAAACGACAGGGAAGAGTCAAGGAAATACCAGCTCAGCAGATTATCATTCAGTAGACTAGCACTTCATCAAACCAATCAATCAATCAAGTAAGATGCCAAAATCAAATCAAACCAATTCACTCAAACCTGGTTTCTCAACTGCTGGTTCATTTCAAGCTGGTAAGTTGATAGACCCATTCAACTCATCGTTCCATAATCAATATACTGACCCAATCTCTTTCATGGTGAGTTTAGTGGCAGTCGAATCAATCGAATCAGATTCAGAAAGCGATTCACAAACCACTCCGATCATTCCATCACATCGAACACCTTCTACTGCCATCTCAACTTCAACTAAAAAGGGACGCGCCAAACAACGTGCTCGTGATCGAGCTCGTAAATCGGCTGGTACCTCGACTTTATCTGATCCAACTGAATGTAAGTCAATTCTGTATCACCCTTTTCTTCTTCTTAAATCTACTCACACACACACACCTATCTCAATCGATCATCACTAAACCTCTCAATTGAGTGTCAAAACAGTCCGGAACAATAACAATCTTAATAGGATCCTTCATCCATTCGATCTCACCAGAAGACCTGGAAATCATCAAAACCGGTTTAATCGTTTTTAATTCAAATGGAAAGATCATTGGGATCGAAAAAGAAAACTTAACAAATCAAGAATGGAATCGAAAAAGTGATCTGATTCAAAGTTTATTGAAAAAGAAATGGATTCAGAAAGAAGATGTTGATCGATTGAGATTCATTAGATTGAGAAATGGAGAGTTTCTTTTACCTGGTTTTATTGATACTCATACTCGTGAGTTCTTGATTTTTTCATGGGGTTTGGGAAGGTTTGCTTGGATGCTTACTGAGATCTTTCTGAGGTTTTTAGATGCTGTACAGTACTCGAACGTAGGAGTTGGACAACAATACGCATGTGAGTATCTAATCCGAAAACTTTCATCCCAATCAAACCGCTTAAACCTCATTGGTTTACGTTTGTTTGATTGATTGATGACGGTTCAGGGGCGTGGTGGGCTTAAGAATGTAACCTTTTTAGAAGAAACAAAGTATTCATCTAATGGTTATTGACAAAGGATTTTTGAAAAAGTGGTGAAAAGAGTATTGAATGCAGGTACAACGACTTGTTGTTATTTTAGTTCGATTCATCTTTCGGTTTCCACAGTTTTAAGCCAAGTTTGTTTTAATGCTGGTCAACGTGCATTTATTGGAAAATGTGATGTGAGTTAAACAAAAACAAAAAACAATTGGGATTTTTTTGCTTAATTTCATATTTTGTTTTTGGTGGTTGTAGATGGATCGGAATGAAACATTTGAAAGTTATAAGGCAAATTCGGTGGAGGAATCTATAAAAGATACTATTGAGCTTATTGACTATATTCGACAAAACTGCGTTCCTGAGCTTGAAAAAGCTCATAGTACCATCATTGTAAGTAGAACAAATTGGGACCAATAGTGTAAGAATTGCTATAGATTCTCTATGACGTCTTACCAAGAACTTCCTACAGCACAATCAAAGGTTGTACTGTACTTTGGTACTTTTGCATAAATCTTGTGCACCTATGAGGCAGCGAAGTAGCTGATAAATATTGTGATTGTGTGGTCCAGCTACAGTTGCGGTTTGCCCTGTTAGAAGGTCCGTGTCGTTAGAAGTACTCTCCTCAATTGAACGGAAAAAAGACTATGAAAAGTCAAATATCATCTAATTTGAAGGGTTGAATTCAGAAGTCTGAAATGAGGGCAAGACACGATTTTGGCATAACGCAGCGGGAGTTTACATTCCACAAGATAAAGACGCTTTCTTGAGTGTATGAAACTCTAGCATACGCACATTCAATATCTCCAATCCTTCTCATCTCTGAAGATGATTGTATATAGAAAGGGTGGCTGTATCAGTGTTGGTGAAGAAGGTCAGTAGAGCTTCTTTCAAGATGAAATGTTGAAATTGAGAGGTTTAGAGGAAAAGCTGATCTTGTTTAAATCTTTTTTTTGGTTAGGTATGATGAGTCGTGGAGCAATTTTAGAATGGGTTGTGATTGAATGGGTCACTAATAGATCATGTAGATTAAGGATTAGAGAAAGTTCATTGACTTTTGCTTGTTAGAGAGAACTTTCGATGAAGAAAAAAAGATGTCGCAGTCTCACTTTATCACGACTTTCTTTGGAAACACTTTTGTTCTTTTCTACCAAGATAGTCACTTTTTTTTATCAAGTACATTTGTTTCCAGGTTTTTGAAAGAGTTGTTTGTTCGATTTTTACTTTGGAGTTTAGAAGAATGATCATTTGCAAAGACTCATTCTTTTGTTATTACTTTATGATTTCCAATGATCATTGCTTGTTGATATCTTTAATTGGAAGACCAGTTGTACTTTGTCAAGAAGTTTCTACTGAAACTGATGAATATTCTTTGTTGTCTCAACTCATGCTTTTTACATTTATATATATACAAATTATTCTATCAAAGAAATCAAAAAGAGATATTGATATGATGCTTGTCAAGTGATCAAGATGTCCATCATTCGATGTGCCATGAATTTCCGACACGCTTAGTGACCAACCCCACGATCAATGATTTTTCTTAGTATAATATCCTCCCATAGATCCATTTTCTCGTCGGACCAGTCGATCTTGTACAGGTCTTTGTTTTCGAAGCTAATGAATTTCAAAAAAGAAAAAGATCTGATTAAAAAAACGATGATATAGGATCCAAGAAGGATTCGAATCAAACTTACAGGAGTGAAATCTTGAGATTCTGATTGACTTGAAGGTACACCACAGGTCTGGTGGCACGTGACGCTCACGTGAGATTTGACTCTGCAATTGAAATACGTGCTGTCTACATTGTCATACCCGACGTGAGTTACATGTGCCAGCCAGCGTGGCCCTCACCCAATCTGATCACCTTGCTAGAGCGTGATAACTCACCTGATGAGCGGGTGAGTCATCTCATATCATAACAAGGTGACATGGCTCACTCAATGAACAGGTGAGCTGACTTGCCTTGTTAGAGTGTGAGTCAAGCTTTGTGATGACCAGGTGTGAAAGCTCACACGCTGTGGCAAGCAAAACACACTTCTCAACCCTTTCTTTTTATATTCACAAGACTCCACATTTCAGCACATTTTTTTCATCTTATCCTCACATTTGATCAGTGCTGCTGAAACTTTACAACTCAGCAAGGAATAGTGGTAAGAGCATTTTAATCTTCAAATTTAGTTATTTAATTTAAAAAGAATCATAATCATATTAAATCAATTGAACTCAACTGATAGTACATGAGTCAAAAGAAATTTTACAATGTTAAATTTAAAAATAAAATCAATAGAAATCCAGAGGAAGAAAATGATGACTCAATGAAAAGGATTGATTGATTCAAAGTTGAAAGAACTAAATGAAAAATCAAAATTGAAATAGAATAAAAGAAAAGAAAAAGAAATCGATTTTGAGGTCTTAACTTGATATTAGATGAGAACCTGATGAATATTGAGCAAGGACTAATTGATATTAAAAGATCAAGACTGATCGAGTAACTTATACAAACAAGAGTTGGGATCGAGATCTAAACAACAAAAGTTGTGATGAGAAAGTGGAGAACGGGTGTTTTGACATTAGTATGCACGGTGAAGAGTATTGAAAACAAGATAAAAAGAAAGACTTACCTATATAATGATTTAAAATCAAAGGTACGTATTGAATGTAGAAATCAAAATTAAAAGTGAGAACTTGATTGATGGATTGAAATCAAAGCAAAAGGTCAGAATCAAAAGGGAAAGAGCTAGATCTTAAGTGAGATGAGGATGGAGGAAAGGGGTGTAGAGTCCTTTTGATTGAGATTGATCGATTGATTGGGATCCTACAATCAAGAATTTAATGAAAGACATTGAATAAAGGAAGATAGTTTTAATGGAGTGAAGAAATAGATGTCAGTGGAATGAAGTGAAGATGAGATGAAGGAAAGAAGACGAGAGGAGACAGTTGACTTACAGCTGACTTAAAACCAAAAATCGAAATCAATAAGTTGGGAGAATGGACAGAGATCGAGGTCGAGATAGAGATGAGTAGGGAGTAGGTGTAGAGCTGTGTAGAGTGGTTGGCTTTGATTGGATCGGATCGATCGATTTATACCTTAGAGACTGGAAATCAACTGAAGAATACAGCAATGACCCATGAGAGCCCATGAGTGAAGGGGGACTCAAGCGTACATAGACTGGGGCAGTAGACAGAGTGTAGGGAGATCTGTGACATGTACCTGTGACGTCATACGTTTTGTAATTATATATGGATGAATGAAAATGAATTGGAATAAAAAAATGGTTCCAAAAGATGTCTTCAAGATGCATGAGCTGCCCTGTTGCAAGTAAACCTGAGCCATAATGAGTCATACGAGGGAGGACTGTTCATGTGCTGAGCACCTGATCAAAATTCAATTGCCTGCTGAGCACCTGGGTGGTTAGCTCACCTGCCAGCGAGGTGCTCAGCAGGCAAATCAGCTTATACTACCGGCAAGCAAGCTACATCACATGCTGAGCACCTCGTTGGCAGGTTGCGCTTGCACCAACCAGCTCACCCACTGATTGGCTGGTAAACCACGCCATGCCAATGTGGTCTTTCTCTCGACATGTAGAGCAGGTGACAAGCATTGGGTGAGGGCCACGTAGCCGCACTCACGCTGCTTTCACCTGTTCCACACAACCACTTGGTGTGGTCATACCCAACTTACATTTCATGTGGTCCCAGTTCAAAGTTGCCCTGTGGTGTAAATCAATTAATGGTCTTGGTCCTTCTTCTATGGTTCTTCCTGCTTCATTTTGTAATTTGTTTTCACATGGAATTCCATTATAAGCTCCAAACATCATTGTGATGAGTAAAGCAAGAGTCATGAAACGAGGTGAAAGATAAGATAACATATTTTTTCTTGGTAGTTATGAAAAAGATTAAAGGAGTCCTTCTATGATTGGGATAAAAAAAGGTGAAATAAATGGGTTGATTTGGACAAAAAAATATGTTCAAGATTATAAATGATCTCGAATCAAAATTGATATACAGATATACACGAGGCAATGATCTAAATGGAAGCTAGAATGAGTTTGGTTAAAGTGTAGGAAGAAAAGAAAAGTTGGTGAAAAATACAAGGGAAATTATAGGAGACTCTCTAGCATGAATGCTTACAGGACAGACCAAATTCATAAGAAGATGGGCGCGGCTTCCTGCGGTCTTTTAGATTATATAACGCTTGGCATGCAGAATTGGTCTGTGAACACTTATACTACACAAAGTTCTTCTGGAACTTTTTCACGAAGGTTCCAGAACAACTTTTCCACAAACCCAGAAGCCAGATTGGGTTCTGCCTTCCTG